CTGGATGGACAAGTATTTTTGAAAACAAAGCTTAATGAATAGCAGTTTTATTCACTCTAGGCCGGATAAGCTGATAAAGGATTGAAAATTAAATTTTCTCACAATGCTATGAGTAGGCGTTACGTTTATATTCAATTTCACATATCTATGCCTCCCAGAAGATATTCTCGTCCAGGATGGACCGCACTTTCTGCCTCGCCTAAGTATCATCAGCGCCACCAGTGAGTCTCGAACTCATGTAATGCAGAGTAGAGTCTCGACATGTTAAGCACAACGTCACACTGCCAGGAATGCTTTTAGGTCATAAGGCCGATGTAAATATCAAACACGACTAGGCCTTTTCCATATCAAATTTTGTTTGTAGTGTGATTGTCGACAATACAAACCTGTATCTGCTATTATAATAAACAACGTTACTTATATTTGATTTGAGTAGACATCTAAATTAACCGTATAAATTCACGTCGACTTCGTGGTCTAGGGGAGCTTGCGGTGTATTGGTAAGCGTGGCTAACTATACGCTATATCAGCCGAGTTCAAATCTAGCTAGGGATGCTGATAAGACCTATGCGAGGTCGAAGATGCAATTCAGCCTGAATGATAATATCAATGGGGCAGCAAGACTATGCGAAATTTAATCGAAGCATGAGGCCTAGTCATATGGGAGAAATTAACTATCAGTTCTTCCCCTAGGGTAAATAAGGCACTTATTAAAGATATAATGGTATTTTTGAGACGGATTCCGAACGAATGATGGTAAAATGAAATTCAATGAAAAATTAAAGACCTTAACTATAATAGTATAATACAATTTTATTAAGGAATCAATCGCTGGCTTGAATGATTAGTTTGAACCAATCGACTTTGAATCTTTTTTATTTCGTTGCAAAATTTGCGATCAAAAAAGTAGTTTATCAGATCACTTAGGAACTGAAATAAAAAGGTTTTTGATCGGCTGCGATTAGTTCGAAACCTCGTTTGGAGTTTCGAAATCCTCGGAATGCCATACTATGTCATTGAGGAAATAGATATCCTTACTTGATCATATGTCCGGCAGACCAAGAAGTTCTTTCAGTAATTGTTTGATGAAGCCATTTAGCAAATCCCTTATTCAAATGTTTTCATATAAAATAAAAATTCTATCCAAATGAGCACTAAACAGAGAAAATATCTACAAGAGTCAGTATACTCATCAGCATTGAGAAATTTCCAAATAATAGAAATAGGAGTTCAGAAATTCTTTGCAGCGGAATACTTCATTTGCTTGAATAATAGACAAGTA